AAGCCAATCACTGCTAGATGATACTATGGATTTGTCGTGAATTCCGTATCCAGAGATTTGAAAGTGATTTTGTTGAAAAAAGATGCAAAGTGCATATTTATGTAGTTAAAGGGCATGGCAGTCACTAAAAACTAGATATAATATGTCTGTCCACTACCAGAATTTATGCTTATAACACAGATGCTCAACAACGTAGCACAGGATACATTTGTATTCGATTTTGCTACTCTTACCACAGTAGATTTTGTTTTGATTTCTGCTGTTAGAGCAGACACAAAAACTCTTAGAAGCAACAAAACCGAAAATAAGTTTCTGGCTCAGAGATTTAACTACCACAAGACCTTTTCAACAAAAAGCTAATGTAGTGAAGCTAATCTATAAGCTAATCTATTAGGGATTAGGCTAGGCTAAGACTAAGTTTGGCGTCAAATCAAGAAAAAACCTATTTCTGTGTTATTTAGTATCACTAGTCCTAATTGACTTTGCAAAAAATAGACTTGGATCCTTATGATATTTGCTACATATTATCTTGCAAAAAAAAAAACGATTTGATTTACATGCTCAAGAGATCACAATAGGTAGTAGCGGATGCTGCGGCGCGGTCCTGATGATATAGCCGCTAAACGGCGGACATCTACGCCACAGGGACCTACGCTAGCTCCTCGCACCGAAGAGGAACCCCCATAATTATGGAACGAAGCTATAGATTTTGGACATTTTCTCGATTTTTCTCCAAAAAAAATTTTTGTCGCATGCGTCATGAAAGAATGACATCAAAGGATGTTCAGTAAAGAATTAGGCGCCGCCTCCGCGGACTACTGGTCCCAACACGATGTACAACAGTAAGACGAAAGGACCAGGAGCCGCAGAGGCGCTGCCGGGTAGGAAAACTAACTCTGCCAGTTTTTGAGCCGCCTCCGCTGCAACTGGTCCTTTTGCAGTGTTGTTGCATGTCGTTGCAGGACTAATAGTCCGCGGGCGGCAGGACCAATAGTTCGCGGGCGCGGCCGGAGCTGGCGGAGTTCGTTCCCTTACCCGGCGTGCCTAATTCAGGTATTCGAAGGAACCTGTATGGTTACAGAACTCGTTTCGAATGGTATGATCATGATTGCGACAATGGCTGCCAAATTGCCAAGCCAGACCTCAGCGATAAGAAAAACAACACCGTTTAACATTCAAGGCAGATAAATGACAACTTAGACTGGAAATTTTCATGTTTGTCACGAAAATTGCTTTTGTTCGCTTTACAGAATTGCAATGAGCAATTTTGTAAAAAAAATGGCAGCATTCTTTGAAGTCTTTTGTAGTCAAGGAAACAAGATGACGAGGTTGAAAAATTATAAGAATAAAATGAAGAGTTCATTGCTCCAAGGAAGGGATTATGTCCTACACTTTTCGCATAAGAAAAATATAGACAGCTAATCCATTCAGCTTACGAAAATAGTTGGAAAAAAACTTTGGGTAGCAGCACTCCGACATTTCAGCTATCAGCTGAATGACATTTTCTTCCAAACATACCGTAAGACTCCTTTGTAACAAAACTTTTTTCCACTTGTGTAACTGCTAGATTACATCTTTGCATATGCCTTCTACTGTAATGATAGAAACAAATAGCCTTTGTAAATGTCATCCAGATGTCAAAATGTCATCAACAGATAAGCTAAGTGCATGATCAGAAGGCGAACGGGGTATAAAAAATGAGTTAATTTGAAGGAGGATGAAGGTGTTACACTGTTGGCAAGTATAAAAAGCATAATTTGTGAGAAAGGATGAAAAGAGAGAAAAGATTCTCTACCGAAAAGAGGAAGAACATTGGCTTAGAACTAAATCGAAGTTGAATCAAGGGCATTATACAGAATTTTTTGAGAGAATGCAGTTAGTCACTAGAAATAACTATTTCTAAAGAACTATCAAAACTCCTACACAACGACACAGAAGCTCATATCTAGCTTCAATCAAAAGTTTCTAAGAACTTACTCGTGGATTAACTATGTCCACTGAGCGAAGTAGCTATCATTCATTCTATGACTAGGACACGAGAGGCATTGCACACATTGTTTGAACAAGCCTAATCGTGTACTTAGTAGGTTTATACATGTTATTATCTCGTCCAGGTTCATTCACTCTTCGGAAACAGGGAAAAACAAACTCAAACTTGTTAAGACGATGTCCGCAATGCGTCTCGCGTCTCATAGTCATGAAATAGATGATGAATCTCCTATCGTTTTTTTTGCGTTACATAAGCTTACTTTTCGAGAAGATAATGGAATCTCTAATGAGGAAAATTCCACGAAACCGTACGCTCACAAAAGTCACCAGAAAAATGCTGTCTGCAAGAGTAATGAATTTGAGAGTTTGCCAGAGTATTCGAGATGGTTACGTCGTTCAGTGGAAAACAAAAAAGTGAACTTTTCACCACTTTGACTACTAACCGAAGTGCCAAAGTCGGTGAAGCCGAGTTCGAGTGCTATTGATATTTTTAATGATATAGTTTCAAGTTGAATTCCAAAGTATCGTGTTCATACCCTACAAGGAGGAGTTTCAAAATCTTGAATTCTATTCCTATGAGATTATAAGAGCTGAAAGTTACATCAGTGCTACCAACGAAAGCAAAAATCCAATCTTACTTTTTCTAATCTGCTATATGGCAGGAGCTAATAGCTTTTCCTAAATCAATCTATGCTTACGCTATAGGTTGGACCTTGTACTGCATACTACGCAAAAACACATTCTCCAAAGAAAATCTTTCAAGAAATAAAAGATTATGTGAATATTACATGCAGGTAAAATTCTGTGTACTTACAATTAGATGCAGAAAAGACTTTTTTTAAGCAAACAACACGGAAACCTTTCCGTTTTTACCAAAAGTCCTAAATCTACAATTCCCTTATGTAACGGAAGTTCTGCATTGCGAACAAAGACTTTTTCATGTCGCTAAGTACAGCAAACAGCCGTGCAAGTTTATGTCGAAATTTCTTTCATTTTGAAAATGTTTGGTCTTATGTTAAAGTGTGTTTGCGCAATTCTCTACCCCTCACTATGTTCGTTTTTGAGAATTTTGCACGACTGTAGAGTCTTTTTAAGATAAAATGTAGAAATTTTGAAGGTGATTTTTTTAAAGAAAGATTTTGAAACTGGATCTCTTGTCATTCACGGTAAGATTTCAGAATGAACATTAACTCATTCTTACGAAAACAGAAATGAAAGTGAGAAACTGGAAAAAAGTATTTCATATGATGAACGAACATTTCTTCCTCGTAACAAACATTTCAAGGATAAAGGCGTGAAAAGTTATACTGAGTATGTTTCAAAAAATCAAAGAACACACAGAAAAAGATATTTTTACTGAATTGATACTTCTAGGTTGATGAGCCCAAACAGAAAACTCGTCAAAATTTGAACTGGAACTATTTTGGACCAGAAACTTTGGAAACACGTGGTAACTGTCTGCATTAGGAAACCGATAACAAAACGGAGCAGAGCATTTATGTGCCCAGAATTTTTGAATATTCCTCACACTGCAAAATTGAGGCTCATTGAATCAGTCTTCACTATGATCCAATCAGCTTGCTCAAATCTTAACCACGTGGCCGGTATTGTTTACCCGTATGGGTAGCCGTAACAACTTTGTTGATAACTCAGCACCCAATGCTTGATTCCATTACTAGTCATTAATGACAATCAAATGAAAAAGCTTGCAATGGTGGAAAACAGAGGTAAGTTTTGAGGCGATCAGCATTCTATGGGTTTCCAGTAGACTACTTAGCATTCTATGGAAAGGTTTCGAAGCCATTTATAGAATCCTACCGCAAGCAATTGACGTGAGGCAAATAAAAAAAACAAGAGAAGGAATCTACATTACGTTTGCAAGACGTCAAGAGAAGAGAAGTAAAACTGTTTTTGCTAGGATCAGAGAAAGCACAGAATAATTATCCAGCCTTAGCACAAAGGATCTCGTTAAATTATGGGTTTCTCTGGAGATCAATTTTTCAGAGAGTCAGCAATTATTCCCAATATAACCATGCACACAAAATAGGAGGGGTTTATTGAAAATGCTAACATGACAAGAATTCTCAAAATTCTTGTAAAATGCCATATATTCATCTAGTATGAGAAAGATACTACATAGATGAATGTTTGAAAAAAATTTCATTTACGAGGTAGTTTTGATTGAAGAAAAATTCAAATTATCAATACTAAACAGGGAGCTCGCAGAGGAGTTTCCCTATGAAATATATATCAATCGAAAGCTCTTAGAACGCTGATCTCAGAACAACCTTTCATATCTGCTTATCGGTTTAGTGGACAAAGTTGCACGCATTTGTTGGCCTCAGATGCCACTGATTTTGGTTGCTTGTTGCAGGACGAAGGTGGCAGAGTAGCTTCAAAACTATTCCCATCAATTTTTTATACTAATAGATACAGTGCTGGACAAAATTATAGGTCCACTCTAAAAAGTGCCATAACTCACTCTGTTGTCAATGAAATGTTCCAAAATTCGGTACAGCCGTGTGTACCGGCCTACTGTCAGTCATCAAAATGGGCCTCGTTTTCGTTTGGTTATTCAAGAAAAAATCGAAAATTTGAAAAAAACAGGCTTGAAGGCTGGACAAAATTATAGGTCCACCTGGAGTTTTTACTGATTAAAGCCTTCTTAGCTCCCAAATTTTTTTTAGGTAGGTACACATCCAAAAACGTTAAACAGCTGCCTTAGTCAAGCTGTGTCATACCTCCAATTGTCTTGAAAATGCACATGTATTTCGCTCCACAAACCTATGTTGAGTAAGAAATTCTGCAGATTCTCAGCTGGATCGGAAGGGACGGGGTTCTATCTATCTTCTGATGCTTTTTGACGTGAGCATTGAGGAAAAAATCTGACTTTTCGCTGCTGAAGCAAATCCAACATCGACTCGGGAGAGTAAGCCTCAGTTTTGGCCCTAAAACCCTTTATGCATTGTTATTATAACTCAAGATATTGTAGAAGCATTCTTTACACAAGAATGAAGCTGTTCGCCATACTCGCAAGTGTCCGCAAAGCTGCCTTGCTTCTTTTTCGAAACGTGAGTTGTGTGTGCAACGTAATGATGGTGTTACGCAGATCCAAAATAGCTTGCCAAATGCTACTTCACTTAGATTTTTGACAGTAATTATTTACTAGATAGTGGATACAGCTTGTAGTGTATGTTAACGCATGATTTTTCTGAAAATTTTGTTCAGAGCCACAAATAGCTTTGGTGCTTGTCGTAATCAGTTTCTGCAGGGCGATTTCAGTAATTATACTCAAATGCTAGGATCTCTAAAAAGTTGTAACCATGGAATACGGACTCCCCTTCGTAGAAACAATACCTTTACTTTACTTAATGCTTCTGAGAACATTGTAAAAGAAGTTTGAAGGCAGAAATTTGAGCCCAGGATTGCAGTATTGTCAATTTCGGATTTGCTTCAGCAGCAAAAAGTCGGATTTTTTTCTCAATGCCCACGTCAAAAAGCATCCAGAAGATTTATAAAACCCCGTCCCTTCCGATCCAGCTGAGAAACTGCAGAATTTCTTACTCAACGCAGGTTTGTGGAGCGAAATACATGTGAAAGCATTTTCAAGGCAAAAAAGCAGATAATCAGTTCTTTTTGGAGGTATGACACAACTTGACCAAAGCAGCTGTTTAACGTTTTTAGATGTGTACCTACCTAAAAAATTCGGGAGCTAAGAACTGCTTTAATCAGTAAAAACTCAGTTGGACCTATAATTTTGTCCAACTTTCAAACCTGTTTTTTTTCAAAATTTTCAGTTGTTTCTTGAATAATCAAACGAAAACGAGGCCCATTCTGATGACTGACAGTAGGCTGGTAAACACACGGCTGTACCAAATTTTGGAACATTTTATTGACAACAGAATGAGTTATGGCACTTTTTACAGTGGACCTATAATTTTGTCCAGCACTGTATATCTCAGATTTTTGGACATGTAACTTTGGAGCAAATTCGCATTTATTACGATTTTAGCTCGTTACACAGCATCTAACCAGCAAATTGGAAGCGGAAAATGCCTATAACTTTATTCAGTAAGCCGATAAGCAGATGTGGAAGGTTATTTTGAAACAAGAGCTCAAAAACCTTTCCACTGATATACATTTCATAGGGAAGATCCACTGCGAGTTATATACCTTCTCTTATAAGGCCAATCCGATCAAATAATGCCAGTAAAGTAGCTCTCAAAACACATTAACGACGTAGTTTAATCTTGAGATAAATATACAAAAAAAAGTATTCTCAAGAGTCCGGAAAAGAAGCTGTGATAGATGCAACATTCCTCACAGAGTATCTCTTATCTGATTCAATGCTTCGGACCTATTGCATAAAATGATATCCTACTTTAAAATGTCTGAAATTTTGCAGAAATGTGGGTTGATAAAACAAAAAGAAAATTTCCTACGCGATAAAATTGCGAGGTCGATCCGCAAAGCAAGAAGAAGGATCTTGGTTTATTGAGAGGCGGAAAAAAAGCCAGACATATAAACACTTATCTTTTTTGAGGTCGTTAGTTCCAGCCAAAAAATATGCTTTCCACTTTTTGGCTTCTTGTCCATATATAGCATTAATTAAGGTGTGCTTTTGAATAACGAGAACTCATTTGGAGAGCATAATATTGTATTTAGAGTTTGATCAAGGGAATAGCCAATAAAGTTTAAAAAAACCTTGAATGTTTCGTCAAGGGCTTCCGAACGTTAACCGTTGATCTAATTATTTCCATAGAAAAAATGTGGGATTTTGCTCGAGAGACCTAGTCCCGTATGAAAAAAAACTGTAAGCGTAACCTAAAAAAACAACAGGTTGTTTAGCCAATCTCAAATCCCATTATACATGAGAATGTAGATAGCAGTGCATCCAAAGTACTTACAAAGTAAGAGACAATTATAAGATGAAGCAAGACTTTCAATGTCGTGATGTATCAAACGACAAAAAGACTGATGACCTACTCCCATGGGTGTTATTTATGCGCTGGACTACGATTTTCGTCTGACAATGAGTTAAATTTGTTGCGTATCTATCAGACTACAAAAAGGGCAATAAAGAAATCTACTTGAGATTGAGTTTTTTCTCATAGGACAGGATCGTTTCCAGACAAATCGTGAAGCAATTCTTTTTACTTTGGAGGAAATTTTTTGACTGTCCGTTCGAAGTATTGCTTTGCAAAGACATAAGTTGAATAGTTTGTTCAAGCTATCCATAAATTTGCGATTCATGAACGAAATAACAGTTAATAGGCTTCGAGAAGTGCTGTGCTGCTGAATTAAAAGCTTGATATTTGCAGCTTTGAATTCATTTGCAAACATTTACAATTTTGCTGTATAAATGGCTAACCGTCAACCATTGGCTCTACACGACTTGTACAAGTCATAAAATCAAAACCACATCCATTGTTGGAAATGTATCAGTAAAGGCATAGGAACGGAAACAGCAGAAAACTCTCCCATATCCTTCCTCTCTGGATAAAACTTCTTATAAGTAGAAAAATTTAGAAGGGATCCGACTATTCATACAACTTGGTGCTCAGTTTTTCCACAAAACTGTGAGGCCTTAGACTCCCTGGAAAAGAATTTGGAACTGGCAGTACAGGTATTCATGTGGTTTTTATACTGTGAATAAACAAGCTCAAAAGATGCGCATTCACTTAGACAATTCCTCTTATCCCGTGCAAAATACCAGGACTTATCAGGTCCTGCACTTAGTAACTTTCTTTCAGCGGATGTTTTCCACTGAAATTCTTGGCAGAAGAGAGGCAAAAAATACGTCATTCAACAGAATCAAGAAAGCGTACGAAAAAAAGGTCGAAGTACGAAGTCGTCAATCAAAATGACGAATTAGCTGCACAAAAACAAAGCATGAGAATTCAGACATTGCGAAAAGACATTCGTCTGAGAATAGCTACAACACTTCATCCTTTACCGAAAATTCTGACAGCTAATAAGGGAAGGATACTGGAAGAAATCTTGGTGACCGTAGGAAATGAAATGTACACCATTAATTGCATGTTGAAGCGCTGATTCTAAATCTGCTTTCGGTATCGGCTGATGTGCGCTTTTCCAAAAGAAATTATGTACATTTCTTACCATCAAAATTTGCACTGTTTTGGACAGGATTCACCAATATCGTTAGAATGTTCACTTACGCACTACAAGGGAACGTCCAAATAAGATAAAACTTTACGTCAAGCTCAGCAAAATTGATATATTCGAGTTTGAAGAGCGTGAATACTGACAATTCTGACTGCCTAGATCCCTTGATATTAATATGGAAAAAAGTCTATAACTTCGTTCAGAGACGAACATAGATTTGGAATCAGCATTCGGCGCACCCACGAGTATACATCTCACTGAAAAGGCCATGGTCACCAAGTATCCTTCCCTTGTGAGAAAAAAGAGTACTGAAAAAAAGTAGGTAAAGAAATTTGGCATCGATTATATACAGCAATACCAGTCAATAAATAAGTATCAGGATTTGCTTAAACGCATGGATTTTTATAACCGGACCCAGATGAGCAGGCTTCAGAAAAATTGGCATTTGACATACCAAAACCAGCATTTTGCTCTCCATGACCAATGAGAAGTGATACCAATGAATAAAGATTTTGGGCATTTTCATGCTTCGTGCACTCGAATTGTGTCACAGACAAAATCTCACGTCTCTCATCGAGCGAAAACGCAATTAACACTATAGACTTCATTTGAAAAAAAAACTCATCACGTTTCTATTGAAGAAGAGCATAAACACTTCCCACTTCTTCAAATCTTTTGTCAATTCCTTGCTTATAGAAAAGCTACTGGATTGACACATGATGACTTTTCTCACAGATACGTGTCAGGCTAATTTTTCAAAAACACTATCACATGAATGCTGTAAGCTTTTTTTCGTGCTCTTTGAGGCGTGCTCGTTTAATGATGCTTTATTTAAAAAGGTTCTCGCCTCTGTGCTCTAATAAGCTGCCAAAGAGGTTCCTACAGAAATGTGGCCATACTGAAGCTAAGAGAAGTTTGAAACGGGCTTGGGGCACTCAAAAGTTATTCAAGCTGACCGAAGACCAGAGCAAATAGAATTGCTGCCATTTCCGCAATCTGTGGAGAGAGCAGTCGCGTCGTCAAAAAGCCCTTTGTGTTTTTTGAGCAAAAAAATGACAGTTCAGGAGAAATGCTACAGGAATCAATTCAAATTATTGCTTTGGTAAGAGCTTCTCAGTCACTTCCCCATCCATAGTATCAAGGAAGAAACCTTTTTTTTTTGCGCATGGGTCCAGTTAAAAATGCAAGTACAGTGAATTTTACCAAGATTAGGCGAATATTGGATTGGCGGGCGCTAACCCATCTGTGCGGACGCGCTGTCCGCTGAAATGTTTCGCCTACTCCGGGTTGAGACAGACTGTAACCTCTGCATGACGACGACAACCAAATTTAACGAATAAGCGAAAAGTCGCTCGGTGAAAATTGCCACTGTGACTTCGCTTTCATAAGTCCATAGATAACATACCTACTTTATGAAAAGGTCCTAAGAGTAGGACATCTGCGTTGGTCTGGTCCTTAAATGTGACCTCTTGAAGAGAATCTCCTAAAAATCGGCTTTTTGGAAGTTTCGCACATTTTGCACTTCATATTTGCGATCAGGGCCAAAAGGCCTAGAATGACAAAACATGGAAGACGTGGATACTGCCTAGATGTCGACAATGCAGCTTTTGAGGAGCATTCATGCATCGGGAAACATATCACAATGAAGTTGCAAGTAGTTGAATTGAGATCCTGCCAAATTTGCATTGGAAGTGGACCAATTAAACAATAATGAGCCTAGGGATCTTCTCTTCGTAAGTTCTTTGAAGCCCCCAACCGGCGGCGTGCGTAAGTCTGCTCCACCGCTACGTAAACAAACGCGCTGCGTTTGAGGCCTTTCAGTCGCTACTTTAAAAACTCGATCAAATTCTGACCTTTTCGTATTTTTATTCACCAAGCACTGGATTACTGCTATACTTTAGTTCAGATAACTCTAATAGCTGCTTCCAGGCGCTCATGAGATGCTAGTACGTTCCATAGTACGTAGATTTGTTCCTATTAGAAGCATAGCATCGACTTCAAGCGATCCATCGAATGGACGCAAGGTAATATTGCTATTTTCTAGTTAGTCCTTTTTTCATTTGAAACTTCAAAATTACTAACTTTCAAAAGGAATCCTTACCTTAAAACATAGCTTCGCTATTCCAGTTGACTGTAGATGATGTTGCTCAGAATTTGCTCGCAGCTCCACCTTCGCGTTTACCGAAACCAATTCTTCGAATACGGGCAGCATGGAGAAATAGAATGAACAAGAATGTCCTGGATCCTACGCTGAAAAGTGTAAGTTTAGCATCTATGATCGATCTCGAACATTTGTTTTTTGTTCTAGCTACTGGATAGCGCTTCTGCTCAACTTTACTATAATTGTGCTAACAACTACGACTATGAGAAGTTATGTGAAGGTATGTACAAATTTCGATAAACATTCAACGAATTTGCTATATCAAGCGGAGTCGTTCCTTGCATTCCATCTATATGCTCTTTTTAGCTTTTAGTCTCCCTGACTATATGTCCACATGGTATAAGCTGACGTTGATGCATTGCTGGTAAGTGCATAAGTTTTGCCATTTCATCTGTCGCTTCAGGATTACCAGAGCTATAGGCGATTCATTGTACGCAGAGATAGGACGTCAGTGTAGACGCTGTCGGCGTCTCACTGATCAAGCGCTCATTCATTTTTCACGCAGCCTCCTCTCTCTTTCATGCTCAAGCTGTCTAAGTCATGCGCAACCGCCTTCAGTCTCTGCGTGTGATGACTCGCCTCTATCGATGCTCAATCTATATAGCCCATATGATATTATGGTGTTTTGTAGGATGGTCTTAACGAGAATGCACACGTCATTAGATGCTTACGCCTATCTGCGTTTACAACGAAGTATGCTAGCAACGCTATGGTTAGACGTCGATAATCGGCTCAAAATTGTTTCGGTGAGCGACGCATCATTGTTTTCATACTATGCGACTCAGCTTATTTATGTCATTTCCGCTTTCGCGTTTATCATTTCTTCAAGGTATTATCTCATCTCATTTTCAATCTTTTTGAACTTTCCAAGATCAAGCAAACATGTCTTGATTTCCTGATCCGAAATGTGTTTTTCATTTATTTTATATATGAAAATTGGAGCCATTCGCATGTATATAACTAGTTGCGACTGTCGATCGTTGCAGGAAGAAGTTAAGCTAACTCTCACGAATCGAAGTGATTTGAAGAAGATGCATGGACTTCATTTGCAGACTTTTTTGGAATATGATGAGGTATCTAACACGAGAGCAAGGCATTTACTATGCCTACTTCTCCTTTGAGTACCTTTCTTTTCTTTTCTATATCTGTAATCATAGGTGCGATAAGGTGAGAATGACCTCTCCAGGGTGAAGGGGGTCACGGTGGTCGCAGCCCCTCCAGGGTGAAGGGGGTCAGAGGGGTGGGGGGGGGGGGGTTGGGGGGGGGGGGGGGTGAGTGCGTGTGTGAATGTGGGTGTGCAATTACACACAACGCGCCGCCAGGAACGGCAGTTCCTTTCACAACCTCATTTTATGAGGACCGATTTTATAAACGGTCTGAAAAAGTGAGTGTGGTCAAAATTATTGGATGGTACACAAGTGCAAAACTGAGGTTTTTGCAGGCGTAATGTTCGAGAAGGAAAGGTTATACAACGCTTGTCACTTGCTTCATACGAATATGGGATGAAGGTCCGGACCGACCATGACTATATTCTTGTCTTAATGTTGCCGTTTCATGCTTTGCAATTCAATGAAAATATTGAAAGATGACGACTATCAACTATTGTGAGGCCATCAGAAGTTGTAATAGAAAGTGGTTCTGAGAAGTGTGATGATAGGAAGTATCAAAAATTATGAATGATGAAGCACGTAGAAAGAAGTAAAATATTGTCTGCCCAGGAAACTCTGAAAGATACAGTAAAATTATTGCATGTATAAATGGCCATTCTTGGTAAATGTGCACGTAAATGATAAGAAGGAAACACACGGGAGCAGGATTGGAACCTTCTCGTTATCTTCTAAAAAAGGCATTGGATGACAATGGAAGAAACAAGGACAGGAAAATCGGAACGCCTGACTGCCACGAAAAATTTATTCTGCTGAAGACTACTGGACACTGCGTAATACTGAACTTGTTAAATTCGGCAATTGGAAAAATTAGGGTTGTTGAAACAAAGTGAGGTTGTAACTACTTCTTGTTTAAATTTAGATTTAGCATAGGAGATATTTGTACGAAAATTGTTTGTGTATCGGAAAGGAGGGAGAAGATTTATAGGCAAAATTTGAAAAAATTCAATTAAAAATTCATAACGTTTGCAGATGAACAGCTAGTACAAGGAAATGCTCACCATTGAAACCGTTTCTTCCTCTGCTTTCAGAAAATATATAGTTTGTCTGGGATCCGTTGAAAAAAGTGCGTGGTGAAGGGGGTGCCTAGTGATTTTTGGAGATTTTCGAGTTTTCAACATAAAAAAATTCATAACTTCTGTAGATGAACAGCTAGTACAAGGAGATGCTCACCATTAGAACCGTCTCATTCTCCGCTTTCAGAAAATATATAGTTTGTAAGGGATCCCTTGCAAAAAGTGCTTGGTGAAGGGGGGGGGGGGGTGAGAATTTTATAACGGGAGTTCTCAGGTAGACGTCTTTTTACAATGGTGAAAAGGCCTCTGCCTGAGAACTCCCGTTATAAAATTCTCACCCCCCCTTCACCAGGCACTTTTTGCAAGGGATCCCTTACAAACTATATATTTTCTGAAAGCGGAGAATGAGACGGTTCTAATGGTGAGCATCTCCTTGTACTAGCTGTTCATCTACAGAAGTTATGAATTTTTTTATGTTGAAAACTCGAAAATCTCCAAAAATCACTAGGCACCCCCTTCACCACGCACTTTTTTCAACGGATCCCAGACAAACTATATATTTTCTGAAAGCAGAGGAAGAAACGGTTTCAATGGTGAGCATTTCCTTGTACTAGCTGTTCATCTGCAAACGTTATGAATTTTTAATTGAATTTTTTCAAATTTTGCCTATAAATCTTCTCCCTCCTTTCCGATACACAAACAATTTTCGTACAAATATCTCCTATGCTAAATCTAAATTTAAACAAGAAGTAGTTACAACCTCACTTTGTTTCAACAACCCTAATTTTTCCAATTGCCGAATTTAACAAGTTCAGTATTACGCATGGTCCAGTAGTCTTCAGCGGAATAAATTTTTCGTGGCAGTCAGGCGTTCCGATTTTCCTGTCCTTGTTTCTTCCATTGTCATCCAATGCCTTTTTTAGAAGATAACGAGAAGGTTCCAATCCTGCTCCCGTGTGTTTCCTTCTTATCATTTACGTGCACATTTACCAAGAATGGCCATTTATACATGCAATAATTTTACTGTATCTTTCAGAGTTTCCTGGGCAGACAATATTTTACTTCTTTCTACGTGCTTCATCATTCATAATTTTTGATACTTCCTATCATCACACTTCTCAGGACCACTTTCTATTACAACTTCTGATGGCCTCACAATAGTTGATAGTCGTCATCTTTCAATATTTTCATTGAATTGCAAAGCATGAAACGGCAACATTAAGACAAGAATATAGTCATGGTCGGTCCGGACCTTCATCCCATATTCGTATGAAGCAAGTGACAAGCGTTGTATAACCTTTCCTTCTCGAACATTACACCTGCAAAAACCTCAGTTTTGCACTTGTGTACATCCAATAATATTGATCACACTCACTTTTTCAGACCGTTTATAAAATCGGTCCTCATAAAATCGGTCTAAGGACATAACTGGAAGAATGCCACGATTGCCCTTCACTTGCTTCTTGACTGTAGAGCCTACAAATAGGTTGATAGCGTGGTCATTTTATCAGGCATAACCTTACCTCACTGTTGATTTTTTTTGTCGTTTTGGTGAAGGGGGTCACCTTGGTTTCCGGCTCAGGAGTGAAGGGGGGGTGAGCAAATTCTCACACTATCGCACCTATGTCTGTAATTGAACTGGTATCGTATGGTATGAGTGTTCAGGGATTCTTAGCAGACGACCGAATGTTTGCTGCTGCAATATGGCGATGCCTCTACATGAGCAGATCCTTTGATCCCATACATGTTCTAAAAGTCATTGCCTACATGCGATCGACGGTCAGCTAGCAATGATCCATACTTTCTCAACTAGAGCACTTTTCCCTACAGATGGCTTGGCTGGATACGCTCGACTTGAACGAAATTTTGGTGGATGGTATCAAAGAGTGGAAGCAAGTTAAACCCAAAGAAGTTAGTCAGGAGCCTGCTAATGCAGAAATTGGTGAAGAAAAAAAGAAATCTGAGGCAAGAGCATCATAGCACTAGATTTCTAGATTTATCAATTAGTTGCTAGTCTTATTGTTTTACCCTGTTTTTTCCTGAGTTTTATCATAGAGATGTCGTTTCTTTGCGTTTTCCCTTCACTAACTTGGCAAAGAGCTAGTGCCTTGAACCAAAGATGCGATCTTATTTTACCTCACTTGTATAGGCTTATTTGGACTGTTGAGTTTTGTATTCTGATGACTAGAATAGATTCTATAAGCTTGCTACCTCTTACATGTTTCCATCTGATCTTTGGACAATGAATATTTATCTACCTTTAGTGAAAGAGTATATGTGCTGTGTCTTAGGCAAAGTAAAAGAATCGATTATCTAGTTGCTGGCCTAGTGCTCACTTATCTCTTGGAGTATGTCATGTTAGAAATATCAGGCAGAGGAAACTTCCTTTCATAGTAACCTACATATGGCGGAACTGCCAGACCTCGGAGCAAGATGTGAATTCCACGACTGCAAGCAATTAGGTGATACCATATAAATTCATCTGTTCTATATGTTAATCCTTTTTATCCTTCAGATTTTCTTCCTTTTACTTGCCCTATATGCAAGTGCTGTTTCTGGTATGTTCACGCCATGGGGCTTAGTCTTCGATTTGTATAATGCACCAAATTTTTTATACTCTTCCACGCATACTTTGCAGCTCCGATCATCGTTTTGCTCACGGCTGTAATAACTCGAAAGAATATGACCTTGCGACTGCAGTGCCCTCGTCATCTGGACCAATACGTGAATTTCTTTGCTCCTTTGCTGGATGTTCCCGAGCAGAGAGCATCAAAATCGTTTGTCCCCATTGCGAACGGAACTACTGCTTGAAGTAAGTTTCAAAGTTAATGCGATTTTTGGCGCTGAATTCAGAGGTACATCAAGTTTGAGTAGATTGAACACAAAGGTCTCGAAAACTAGTGGCTTTGTTTTTTTTTTCGATTCTGCTTGATGTTTCATTGATGTTGACTGCAACCTATCGCTCTGGAGACTTCCAATGTTATTTAATCTTTAAGGCATCGTCATGCGGATGAACATCTTTGCGATGCAATGCCAGAAAAGCTCGAAAAACCTCGTCCGCAAGTTACATTGCCCATTCCGGAGCCATCAAAAGTAGAGAAGCCGCCGAAAACCACGAAAACAGCTGTATGTAGAGGGATCTGAGTTTGCGTCAAAACCACGAATACGTATCTGCAGTCTCTAAACCCGGCCGATCAAAAGAAAATGGACAAGATTCTCATTATGAAGTTGAAGATGAATGCGAAAGCTACAGCTGACGTACCTGCAGAAGAACGAATGTTTTTATTCGTTGAAGGCAAAGATGTGAATGGAGGACGACAAGCAGTGGTGGTTAGCAAGGTTAGAACGAGATATCTCAAGAAGAATAACATATCAAGTGTAATCCGCCTACAAAAGATTCTAATATGCTTTTAGAAATGGACTGTTGGACGTTGCGCTGCAGCTATACAGAAACTCCTATCACTACAGACATCTAAGGTAGATGAACGAAAATTATCCTCTGTTAGTGAATCTATTGAACTACCATGAGCTAAACTCTCAAGACATCACAGCAGAGAATTATTTCAAAGCGCCTTCCCATATGACCGTTAACAATCTGATTTGTCACAAATCGTCTCGACAGTATTTTGAACATACGAATGCCCCAGAAATTGCATCGAATGTTTCATCGCGAATAACTCTGCCTAGGAGCACATGTAGGGCTTAGATTAGATTCACAGCATAAAGGATTAAATTCATGGCTTTTCATTGCTTCTCATTACTGTAGGACCGCACGGCTTTTAGCACAATGTCCTCATCACAGATCAGCTGCCAGTTTAAGAAAAGAAAAATCCTAAACGTTTGAAAACTTTTTTGGTAGGTTTTGGATCCGCTGAACCTAGCAAACTCTTTTACATGCCTGCAAACTAGTCCAGAATAGTATCGAATTTACTGCATTTTGGGGAACCGTTTTTATAGTATAGCTATCCTTCTTTTAAGTTAAAGGTTACAGCGTCGCGATAAAATACTCATCAATTTTCCAACTTTTGCAGTTTCAATATAGTCGCATTGGCGCAAAACTCCATGAAAAGTTGCTACCGTAATCCTGTAGTAATGAAGAGGAACCAGCGAAGTGCCTTCTACTTTAGATCCAAGTTGAAGCCAGCCCTACTATATGCCCTTTCATGAGTGAAGACGCACTTTTTTGATTTTTTTCAAGCAAGCAGCTTGGTCGCATTACTGTATGAAATGGTCGCACTTACGCACGCTTTTTTTAGGTATGCAAATTTTTTTAGTGTTTAGGCCGGTCGAGTTTATAAAAAAAACAGGTTCGTGCTGTACTCCTGTAATTAGGGTACCAGCCTAAAACTCTCAGTATTTATTAGATGTAACTTTATCGTTAGGATCTGTCATAAACCATTGGTCCAGTGTACTCTACCACTAGTGCAATGATTCAAACTGACACCATTTTTAGTTTGCAAGCACATTTTCTGAGTAGCGAAGTTATCACGTATGCATGTGATTTCAGGAGATCTTCAATCAAAACAACCATTTAATGCAAACACTGCTTTACAAATGTCCGTGTAGAGGAGAAAAGCCTTTTGATTTCATTCAATTCTAGGCTCTCCAACTTCACACAAGTTCGGGTCAGCTGCTCGACTATGCCGAAACAGTGTCAGGCTATCTCGCTGATATGGATACGGTAACGATCACCAAGCCTGACACATAGGTTTCTTCAGATTCCTTTTTTTTCAATAAACTAGGACATCTCAGTTTTTGAAAGTGACAGTTTATCAGATATGCTGCCGAGTTGAACAACCGTTAGCACAGGCATCAATCCTATAGTGAAAAAAGATTTTCGTACAAACACATTTCTTCGAAATATCAAATAACAAAATAGCATCTCGTTCGGAAAACTTGACATGTCAGAATAAAAGCAGCTTTAAGCAGATGAGTGTGGTACATGGGAAGCAAGAGTAATAAAAAACATACTTGTCACAGGTGCATGACATGGCACAAATAATGATCGGAGCGTTGATTTTGCTGACGCTAAGGCAAGTAATAAGGCAAAGAAAAGAGTGTAAACATGCGAGAAAGGAAAACATACATTGCACGTATAATCAGAGAATCCGAATACATCTGGATTGCCACTATCCATAGGAATGATTGGAAAAGACGGAATAAGTGTTAGTGTAGCTGGCAATACTCGCAGTATCAACTGCATTTATAGCGCAAAAGATGGATTGCTACAGTATACCCAGAGGAGGCACGAATTCTGCCATGGCGTTACTTATGCAGACTACTTCTCCACACGGTATGCAGTAGCATGCGCAAACCAGTGACCGTTTTTATCAACGAACCCAGTGGTTCCGCTACCCAGTGGGTAGGCGAAGTCGGGGTTGGATCGATATCCACGGGGAACACTGCTGGGTACATGGACCCACTAGCTTCATGAGAACCGAGCTTGTGGGTCAAGCCTACCCACTGGGTTCGTTGATATTCAGCGTCAGTGGTCCGCGAAGGCGACGCCTGTTGGCGAAGTTCGTTCCTCTAACCTCCGTATATTTCAGCGGTGGTCTCACATGCGACATCGAACAGGCATGGTGGTCCCAGAATTTTTTTCTCGAAAAAAGGGTTTGAGACATCAGCCAGGCACTCTCTAAGAAAACTAGTCAAAAAAATTTTTTTTGAGATACTTCAAATTTTTGCGGGCCGGTAACCACAGAAAGCCGATTGTGTCGAAAAATTTTTGCAAAACTAATTTGGGTTTTTGAAAAATTCTAAATTGTTTCAGTAGCCTTGGCAGCAATCCATATCGTTTGCGCTAAATCGTGCAGTCGGCACCTAGTCAACCAACGCGAAATACTAAAGTCGCTTGTAAGTAATAAATCGCGTTTCGTTGCAAGTATCCGCTAACTTTTTTTTTCAATTCCAAAGCCTTCCCAAATTTGCGAACATCCCATAGATAATGCCAACGCCAAAACACAACCTTAACATTCATCACAAACAGTTCATCACAAAAGCCCGGTATCGGTAATAGTACAGATTAGAGGGTAAAGCTGATCGCGAAGGCATAGGACTAGGTAGCACAAGAAGAAATTTCGAATGAGAAAAATTTCGCTGTATAGAACTAGCAATCGGTAATGTCGTCGTGCAACTGTCTACTCACTAACGGACGCGGTCTCGAACGTCGTCGTGGCAATGTGCCACCGGTTCGTTCGTTCCAGTCGTTCCATACACGGCAATAGTCGTAGACAGGATCCAGTTCGTCCTGTACTACAGGGTCATTTATAGCCGTTACCATACGACTATGGGTACGTAAGGTATTGGATAAGTTAAATGGGGTACTCGGTGAAGTGGAGCCGGAGGAGGGATAAGATCGTCGCATAATGACAGGAATGGGAGATATTTGGGGTGATTTTATAGGGAAGGTGGGAGACCGAGGTTTCTCTTCGAAGGAGCCGCAGCAGGGTGAAGGAGACAGAATGAGGCTTTGTCGAGAACACGAGATCAACGCCGACTGAACGCCTCCACGACGTTTTTTCCTTGCTCGTAACGAAACACGTGGTCCAAACTGCGGTCCGATATCGTTTCTGTAAATAAAATTTTCTTTTACAAGATAGCATTCAGATAACTAACTGTCTTTTAATAGAGATCAAAAGACTATTCAAGGCATTCCAAAGATCCTATCATATTAGCTTTGCTACCAGTGTTACCGTACCACAGTTATCGTTGTTCACTTCAGCTTTTCCTACCACTGTTACCACTGTACCGTTTTGAATGAAGAAATTGCGGCATCCTTTCGTAGACGATGACACTGACTGGTGACGACTATTTTCCTTTTCATCGTAAAATTGATAAATGCAAACCTAGCCACCAATCGGCGGATCGTGAAAAAAGCTACAAGGCGTTCATTCAACGCAGAACACTGGTAACAACGGTAGGAAGGTTGTAATAAAAACGAATGGTAACCCGGGTGACAGTGGCATTGGTAGCAACGGTAACGCTGATAATTGGCCAAATCCTAAGCAATAAGAAACTCACCTAGTATTGATATCGGTGATAAAGTTGTGATGGTTCCGCAGATGCATGTCTGGACTGTTTGGCATATTGGGCGTTACGGGGTGCGCCGGGGACGTTGGGTGGTACCCGTCCAACCATATCGGGGGCGACCCGCAAGGGTGTTCCGTATGCGGTCTGGGATACTCAGCATAGGCAATTCGGCAAGAATTTCCGACTTCCATGACTCACTTTGACGAATGGTGGCGGGCCGACTCCTTCTCCGCTATAGGCAAACCAAGAGTTGAACATACGGTAGTAGTCGGGATTGGGAACGGCGGTTCGGATTTGCTGCGGTGGGACGTCGGCACAGTAATCGGTGGCGTACATTTGGTAGTTGGGTACTCCCTCGCCACCATGAAAGGACTTCGAACTAAAAAAACATATTGACGCCTTCATCCACAATTATTTAGTCAAATTAACCTTGGGATGGCGTAGTGATAGGGCGGTGGTTGCGGAATTCCTCCATAGGTGACTCTCGTATGATAGGTCGCGGTAACTCCTCCAAGTGTTGGGACCGCACAACTTTTCGGCGCTGGCGGTTCTGGGGCTGGATAGCGGTGTAGGTGGTATCGGTCGATGAGATCGTAGGAATCGTATTCGGGAACACTGGTCGACATTCCGGCCTGAATCGAGGGCTTGTGGTCAGAAGTGGCTTGTGCAAAGGTGGTAAGCTTGGTTTTGACGTGGACAAATCTACTATTCGCTACATAGTGCAGCAATCTTAGTATGATTCTGTGGTCAAGGTGAATCAATTCTACCTGAGGATTCACTATGGGGCAATGTAAAAACGCGTGATACGTTATACCTCTCCAATAAAACACTTGGTGGCGATCTAGGATGCCGAGACAACAGTGACCGACAATTTGCGCAAGCATGGTTTCTACATTTTATCGGGGAAGCTTCGTCTCGTTATCTGCGTCGCTTCAGTGACGCTTCTTCGTACTAAGGACTAAAGAAACGCGAAGTCCGTGATTACACATAATTGCTGAATACAATCACTTAAATTTTTCTTTGATGAGGAAACTGGGCGGAAAAGGAGCGCTTCGCTCATTACTCGACGTGTTGCATCTCTTCAAATCATGTAAAAACAGAATCTCTCTAAAGAACGAGGACAGCATGCATGCTCGACAAGCAAATAAGGGAGAAAAAATGGGTCCGGACGTTCAACATAACACAAAGGGTAGGTTCTAAAAAGGAAAGAAGGAGCGGCTTTAGGCATTTTTAGGCAAGCATACCTAGCCCTGAGGCTAAAATAGAATCGAGAATTCGCAACGATCAGAGGTGGATCGGTAGAGGGTGATGATGTTGTTGAAAACTGAAAGTGAAACACACTCCACACCATTCACACATAAAATCACATTCATCTTTTGCACAATGCTTGAACAAATCAAATATCTCCATTACGAAGAAAAAGAAACAAAAGAGAAAAGAGACTGTAGATTGTCACTCCAGTCTCGCAAATCAGTTTTAGGGCAAAGTCGACGATGTCAAAGAAAGCCGCAGCGAATACGCAAGAACAACGAAGAGACATGCTCTAGTATCCAAGGCAGTTTTTCCTCGGATTGCGACCGTACAACACACATCAAAAGAATCAAAAGCAAAACCAAGTTTCTAGGAAAAATTTTAAGAATTTTAGCAAAAAAAAAGAAAGAAAATGAAAACGCTAAGTGCCACAATGTTTACCTGAGGAGAGTAGTTGTAGTTTGGTGACGCATAGACTCGATGCGGTTCGCGTCTTACGGCACCAGGTGTAAGAGAATGTGGACTTCTATTCGCTTCCAATTCTTTCTCTCTAAGGCGATCGTAGTGCTCGCGAATCCTAAAAAAACATAAGGAGACTATCTTTTCACAGTGGGGGGGGGGGGGGCGGAGAGAGATGCGCAGTACTGTTCAAAATGGGCGTGATTTACCTGAGTCCGCTCGAACAAAGAGGACTTAGAAAGTCAGAGCCCTGTCAAAAATCGCGCACGGTTAGGCAGCAACAACAGGCATTTGAGGGATGTCAAGATTAAAAAACACCAACCGTTTCCGCTCCTCCTCTTCGTCTCGTAGTCTCTGCATTTCCTCAGACTTGCCTTCCAACCTTTGCGATGGCGACTCCTCACGACTCTTGCCAAATCCAAGAAATGATTTCATCACATTCAAACTAAAATTAGGCTTTGGTCACATATTTCAGCATGAGTAAACTTTTCTAAACTCACCCTCCCAAACTCTTTCTTCGTTGTTTGTCTTTCTCACGACTGGCGGACCGTTGCTTAACCATTACTGGCGATCCAGGTGGGAACGGATGATGTGATGGTACTGCGGGCGGGGCTTGACCTGAAAATGGAATAAATTATGGTTCATGGGATCGATTATGGAATAAAACGAAAATTCTACCATGGAGATCATAGTAATCGGTGGCCTGTCGGAAGCTGTCACTAGTGAGCGCACCACGATATGGCTGCAATGGACAATTAAGTTTCTGAGCATAGAAAGCATTTCAAAAAGATTCTTTGTCTGACAAAGGTGGATGGCTCGACAAGATGGACTCTTGTCAGATGGTGATGGTAGAATTCATTGAATGGGAGTGGATGACTAGATTTTGAAGCGTGTAGGACTTAACGCGTACATTGGAGGATGAGATTGGGGCTACGGAGTTGGAGGTTCCACCCTAGCACCGCCAAAATCTGACAAGTCCAATTTGCCAAGCCACAGCCTTTAAAGGAAGTAGCTTAACAGTCATCTCATTGTCATGAACTTGCTTGCAATGGGATTGAATTCAATTGTAAACAAATAAATTCCAAGCCAATCAAAGAGAAAAGAATAAAAATAGAGAAAGCCTCAGATTTCTGTTGATGACAAAACCAAAAATGGACACTAAACGTAATGAACTTACCATAGCACTGTGCGTCTTCGGTGTGGCTCGATTTTCATGTGCGTTGCTTTCAGCACTTTGAGAACGGCGTTTTTCCGAAGCAGCTGGAGCTAAAATGGATACTTGCGGCTAGCTAGTATACTTATAAAGATGATAAGAGGGAAGTCATACATATCGTAAAGTTACAGTGAACATGATCGTACATTGACAGACTTGTGATGGCTGACAAGGACAAATGCTCACGAAAAGTGTATTTTTCACGCAAAATTAATGATGACAAGTGCAAAAGCTTGAAAAGGTGCATATAAAAAAGCGTTACAAAGAACTTACCGCTATTATGGAGCCGTGGTTCTACTTGCGTGGTCGGTGTTGACATCTTCATTATCTTAGGCGGTGCAGGAGCACGAGGGTGCACAGATTGACTTCGTGCTCTTGCTGCCGCTCTTTGTGATGCTGATCTACCCGCGCCTTGCCCATGGAAAGAAAGCGAAGTGGTCATCGCGGAAGATAGGGGAGCTAAAGCTAGCGATAGAGATACAGTAGGCGAAGTTAGAGTTGAACTGAATTGTGAGTGGGGATAATTAGCGATAGTAAGATCGCCGTCACTTTTTCGTCATATAAAAATCGCGATTAAATTCCATGAATTTCTTCAAAAACTGCATGATTAGAGTTCACGAAGATTAAGATCAATCTTAATCATATAGCGGAGATCAAGTCAATAAGATGAATGACGAAAAAGCGATCTATGCCCAAAAACAAAAGCAAAAAAAATCCAAAACTGTTAAGCACGGAAAAAGTGAGAAAAAACGCAAAACTAACGAAAAACAAACTAAATCGTCTTTTCAAGCGAGCTGGTCTAACCGAAAAGTAAACAAGTAAACTTAGCGACCATCGGGTAACATACCAGAGCAAACAATGTTTGAAATAAAAAAGACTGCAATCAAATGCAAAATGCCCACCACTAGTTTGTCGCTGATGCTTGATGTCTTGGAACAATTTTATATGGTGTGGATCAGAAGTAGCTCCCATGCCACGCTTTTCGCTAAGACTTTTTCGTGTTGGTGCTTCTCTGCTGAATGGATCCGAGACATTTGCGAGTTCAGACTCATCTAACCTGAAAAGAAAAAATGCAACTTTGCCAGCCCATGTACAGTTTTAACGGTTACCTTCCAATATCTGAATCCAAACCATCCGAAGGCGACGGCTTCCCTTCAGAGGAAGTAGATTCCGTGGCTATCACAGAGATTCTAGACGGTCCCTCATCACCATCGACGCAGACTCTCGACACCGCCTGAGGTTGCGATATAGATCGCGACATCTGTGGTGTCCTAGCGCGTTGAATAAATAATCTAAAAGCTTCTACTGCTCAAAAATTACTCCCATCATACCGTAGCACTTCACTTACCGTACATACTTAGCCGTGGGACCTATGGCTTTGAGTCGCCGTGAAACAGCTTCACTAGCTGTAGCGTTGGTCTCCCCATCTAGTCTTAGTTCCTCTATTCCTACTATACGATCGTTAACTCGAAGGCGACCATCTTTATGAGCAGCACCCCCGTGGAGAACCTAAAAAAGTGACTTGTTTGTACTTGCAAATTGCTAAAATTATTCAATTTTGTTTTCCAGAAGAAATGAAAATATCCAACAACTTTGGGCTATGGCTGCGTATACGAGCCTATTACAAATAAAGAATTTATCCATTGTCAAAGCCGTGCACATGAGTCGCTGATCGCTGGAAAGTTTTGCGTGCTGTTTAGCGCAGTCATTTGGATCCGGATCTGGGTCAACTATGGCACCATTTTCAGCATTGTTGTTGCACAAGTAAAAACTAGGCTCAAAAACACCTGGGATTAGGGCGGCACTCTAACTACCTTGTTAATGAATTCGTGAGATTTGATTATTGAAATCGTGAGACTGCGTCATAAAATATCGAGCGGAAGCGTTTTGCGCGCTATTTAGCGCACCTGTATGGATCCGGATCTGCAACCGACTATGGCACCATTCACCCTCAGCATTGTTGCTGCGCATTTAAAATTAGGACCAAAAAATCAGGTGTGGGTATGGTGGCATCCTAACTATCTTATCACAAGACTTACATTTTTGATGAATATTCCGCAATCTTGCCTCGTCCCATTCGTTCGAACTGTTACCCGTGCTTTAAGGCTCACTCCCAAACCAGCACTTCCCGTATCATTCAGTGGAATGACTAGTTCCAGCTCTTCTACATCTCCACTACATTGCGTCGTCGTCGCAGCATTAGATGTTGATGGCATTGACTGGAACAGATAGAGTTGATGTGATGATCTGATTACCCGAAACAAGCTTCTCTACCTTCTTATCGTCACTAACTGGCTTTATCACAGCTAATTTCCGGGTTGGAGGTTGATTTTCCCTCTCGCTGGAGTTGCTCTTCTTCTCGTCATCCTCCTCCGGTTGCACTAATCTGGAGACCAAGAATGTGACCGTTTCTCCCACATCCGCCCTTTTCAAGCGGTCGACCACCTCGGCCTGGGTCAGATCTGCAGTTGGTTCGCCATTCAGCTGAAAAAGTGCATAAAACTACCATGGGTATGCTCTAGAACTCAAAGAATACTTCCTACCTCCAGCAACCGATCTCCTGCCCTGAGGTGACCTAGAGCAGCTCCATTCGGTTTGACCGTTCCAATGTAGAACAATCGTTCACCTTTTGCAGTTTCTCGTCCCGTAACGGTAAAACCAAAACCAGTCGAAGCTGTAAAAACTCTTCGTAGGAGAGAATTTGGGCAAAAACTACAAGGTTTTTGACAAGTGAAAAAATGGCAACCACTCACTTTTCTTCAACTCCACAATTTTTGTATGTCCAATGTGCTGAGTGTTTGCTTGCTGCAACGCTGATAGAATTGGTCTGCTTTGAATGGAAGAAGTAGCGGGATCTCTCAGCAAACTTCCCGAATCCGCAAAAGTGGACAACGGCCGCGCTATTGTCAATGATGGCTCATAATGTGACTGCAGCTCGCTGAGGTAGGCTCTAGCACGTACAATGGACATCTAAAGAATTTATTAAATTGAGTGGTACTCAGTAGAGATTTGAATCGCAAGCAGTGATTGTGTACACACATGTCACTAACGCAGACAACGTCTAGGTTGCGCCCACTGTGCGGCGCGTTTTGCACCTGCGGGTCGTAGAAGAAAAAATAGGTAAAAGTGCAATGTCGTCGCTCAAACATACCTGATAAACAGGACGAGAATCAATCTCTACAATATTGTCGCCAACTTTCAAGCGACCATCTAATCCTACTCGTCCATCAGGTTCTATTCGCAGTATTTGCACTGCAGACAAACGCCCATTTGTAGAAGATGGATCGTCTTGCACACCCGTAACCTTCAAAGACACATTATAAGAATCTCGATAAGACAATAGAATTGCAGAAATGTCCTTCAAGATAAATAAGCGCAAGACTAGAAATGATGTCTTTTTCGCCCAAATTACCCAGCTATATTGTGTATTTGTTTCGCTTATTCGTCTTCTATTTTGAATACATATTAGCTAGCTCAAATACAATGTTACAGAACACACAGTCAAGCTCACAAAAACTTGAAGCATTTTGAGTTACGAGCGAAGTTTTTAAGCATGCTGGACTCGATGGCGGGAAGCAGGGAAAAAGGGAGGGGGGAGACTCGCGAACTTTAATTGCGAATTTTTAGGAAGTCGTCTACATGAGTAGACATTATGCGTACGACCAGACAGATGACAACAAATTTCAAAATTCCCCAAAGCATTCAAATTTGCTTTGTAATATTTTTTTAGTTATTCGGGTGATATCCCTTTGTTTCAATAAAAAGGTTATAAGTTCTATGAAAATTCGGAAAAAATCTGTAAGATTTTCTACGGTGTGCTCAATGTCATGGCCTCTCATTTGGGAAGGAATTTCAATCGCAGCCCCTCCCCTCAGAAAAATTTTCTACGAACCTCAGCTGAGCTCAGGCTTAAATGTAATGTCTTTTTGAAAGTTCTGAATCATATTTTGCGCTGCGACAGATTCATATCAACACTGTGTCAAAATTTCTATAAAATTTCTAATTTAAATTCTGCTTATCGAAAGCATGCATGGTTATAGTAATGCCCAATTTTGAGAGTTAATACCCGCAACGCTGAAACACCTTCGATTTTTGAAGCTACCGATAGACAGAATTTTGATATACAAAATCTTGGCCCATTATCATGAAATTAATTTAAGATCGTGGGTTCCTTGCAGTTACCTCCATTTTTTTGCCCATCGCGCATAATAACCCTCGAAAACAAACTGAGGGAGGAGCAGTATGCAGTACTTTCAATCCCTCCGACACCGTTAAGATATGAAAATCACCAAATAATCAAGCAGGTCCTTACACACAAGAAGGGCACATGGATGATTCTTACGCAAAGCTATGCAACGAAACGCAAATAATGACTCACTTCGATACCCATAGGCGTCAGATCATCGTCCGGAAAAATAATCACGGTATTTTCCGGATCAAGAGCCGGTCTTAGATAGGCACGTTGTCGCCTCGTCATCATCGGGGACATGCGGGACGAAGCGGCCGCCGCTTCGCGCGCATCTTCGAGTCGTTCCTGAATAGAAAATCCTATTACTCAACAATGGGAGGGGAGGGGGCAGAGAAATCTGGAAAGTTGCACTTACAACCGCATCGAAGAAGCTTTCGGTAAGACGCGATTTCCTCGCCGAAGTGCGAGTTAATCGTGTGTCCTTTTCACCACCGGATGCCAGTTTCTTCTCAACTTCTGCAATCAACTAGTTATAGCGAGGGAATAGAAGTGCTCAGAAGCGGCATCCTTGGTTTTTCCATACTTTAAAAATAGCAATGAAAGAGAATGTGAGAATGGAACAGCTAAACTGCAAATCTAGCATATCCAAGATTGCTGGATCGTAGGTTCAAAAGCGGCCAGACAAGAGCGCCAAGCACTCCCAACGGATGTTCTATGGGGATTTCCATAGAAGGGAGTGGGATTTGACGGATGATGACGAATGTCTGAGAGCTACTTGTTTGGCGGAGGATTTGTGTGGATTAGAGTTCTCGACAGAATCGGACGTAGAGTTGGCGGAATGAGCTTGTGAACAAGAAGGAGGAAGTTTAGAGGGGTAAAGATGGATATAGCATCAACAACTTTGTTGAACTTTGTCCAAAATATCTCAAAAATTACTTTACCTCTCCTCATGCCCACACATGTATTTCTAGTAAATGGAAAGAAAAGCATCAGCATTAACGTAATGAAGCTTAAGAGCGATAAGACCAGATTGAAATAACAAAAACCAATGTAGAAACCAGAAACCTACCAGGACTAAGTGTGACACGATGTCGTGTAGGAGTTGATGTATCGGAACGTAACGACGATCGAACTGGTGGCTCTTGACGTTCTTTTTCGCCGCTTTTACCTCCGATCACAGCAAACGACGTCGCCGCAGCGGTGGTTGCTGCTGCACTGCTTTCCGGGGTCCGGTTATTCGTCACCGATGACGAAACGCGTAAGCCGTTGCCTGGAAAATATATACATAAAAAATTACGAATCAAAATAACAGCCACAGGAGAGAGAAAAGCAATAAATAGAAGTAAAGAGCCATGAATAAGATTAAGTAACGGAGACAGAAAGGCTCGTAGAGACGAAAAGGCACAAATAACTAGGACTCAAAGATGGATATAGAGGGGCCAAGTGACTTTCGGGATTGCACGAAAGAAAGTTTGGAGAAAATATCTGAGCGTTATGGAATTCTGCTATTGGCATAACTTCCATGCAAACATTGCGCGTGGCGGTGAGTCAACAAACAAATCTTGCCTTTTATGGCTTCTAAGAAAACCGAATCGATTCGTTCACACAGTTTTCTCTTCACGAATTGCTGTTATATAACAGTTCCGGAACATCCAGGAAAGTATATCTACAGACTACTGTTAACAACATTCAGAAATTCACCAAAAAATAAACTCTGGACAAAACCAGTCGAATATACAAATTCGGAGAGGTCTAAGTGGTTCCAAAACCCAAAAAGGAGCTTTTTTGTACCACAAGAAACTTGAGATGGGAACGTCTTGATAAGACAAGGAATTCACGCTCTTTATCAGCGAAGAATGAGAGGCTGCATATTTGCGACTAAGCCCTTACCAATTTCTGTCAGTCCAAGCAAAAAAACATGTATTCATAATTCATCGATTATGACTAAAAATATTTTCACTTCAAGCACCTTTGGCAGAAAATAAATTTTAGAAATAATCAATAGAAATAGTCACACAAAACTTTTACCATATTCAGAAAAAAATTTTTAAGTTCAAGCTACTAAAACCACATAGCACATGCAAAGCAACAAAACAAAACAAAAAAAAATGACATACAGCAACCATAAACATGCGATGACTAACGTTTGAACTAAAGTAAAGAGAAAAGTGGAAAAAAGAACGGACGTTAAGATGAAATGTATTTTTGGGACACAAAAAACTTACTCGGTGGATTCTCCAGGCTGACTATTTCCACAACACTGTCTCGAACTCTTCCCACGACAGGACCACGTGCAGCTGTGGGTGTAGTATTATTGTAGTCGGTTGCGTCACTGGCGTTCGGTGTTTGTTCGTCGTAGATTGCAAGGATCTTGAAAGAAAAAAAGATGAAGCCAGATGTGAACAAAAAAGTCTGAGATTAACCATTCAGAGCAGAAAAAGGTTCTTTCAATTGGACCCGGAAATACGTGAAAAACATATCGACTTCTTTTTTAGAATTTCAATAGGAAACCTCTCAAAAATTAGTCAGAAAAACTGCAGGAAAAGGGGTGGAGGACATTAGGTCGCCGAATTTGGGAGAGTCCCGCGCGGATTCCCTGCAGGAACGCATGTCCGCGTATGTACAAGGGTGCGTATTTGTCGCAGATGACCGCGGGGACCGCCCTTTTTCGGCGACCTAATGTCCTCCACCCCAGGAAAAGCCTTCAAAACTATTCTACCAGCAAAAGCCCATTAGTCTGAGAAGAAGCATTTGCAGTGGAATCGATGAAACGCCCCAAATGCGTCATCGAAACTTTGCGATAACGTCCCTTTTTGCGGTACGACTGTCCTCTCAACTAATACAGAGCAGATGGAACGACATCGACAACAAAAACGTTGTTTACACAGCTGTCAAAGGGTTTTTATCACAACTTGGTCTTTTTAGCGCACTGTACCAATAACAATGTCTAAAGAAAACAAAAAGCCTGCAATCGGATTGAAATACTGAACTCCATCTTTGGCTCAATCACGTGCAGTTTTTATTACAAGTAGAAACAAAAAATCTTATTAGAATAATGTTTGCAAGAATAAAATATCAGACAGAAGTTTTACTCTAAAATGCAAAAAAAGTCAAAAACAGCCTCAGGACTATTCGTCGATAGTTTTTTTCATCTGTCTCTTGCTCGAATAATGAATTCTTGGTTTTGCTATTCACAAGTTCATGAAGATAACGTGGAAAATTTTCGAAAGCTAAGAACATGCTCCTCTTTCCTTTCTTTCCAACCATTCCCTCTTCTCCCGCCCGAGTAAACTTTGAGTTTACCGATTATCAGCTGTGCTCGTGAATTACTCTAGACAACTCTTTAAATTCCAGAAAAATTGCACAAAAGTCAGAAGAACTCCCCCCCCCCCTTTTTTTTGTTAAACAGAGGTGTCAATCACCGTGTTCAGATTAACGATAAGGGCCACACCCGCTTTGACAGATTCTGTCATTCAAAGTCATTTTTCAATCAATGTGAATCCGTAATTAATATAATGAGGCAACAAATGATTATCAAAGGATTTTCAGACATCTACTTCAACTTTCAGAAATCATTGAATAGTGGTCTTTTTTCAAAACGTGATGAATTACACAGGGAAAACAAGATTACTAAAAAAGATGACCTCCTTTACGTAAGTGTGATAATCTTTCAGTCACTTTTCAAAATGACGTCTCAAAAATTTTCACGTTATACAAAATAAAAATTTGAACGAATTTCACATTGGAACTGATCATGCCCTGCAGACAAGAAACAATAAAAAAAATGTAGATAAAATAGATATCTGCCAAATGCAGCTGACTCTGAACAGCTGTAGACATCATAGCGTAGCCCTCTTTCCTACCTGATCTCGAGCTTCATCAAAAACATCTACAATCTTGTCATCCATATCCAAGATGCCTTCATCGCTAATGCATTGCATTCGTAGTATTCGTACATCGGTTTCCATCTAGATTAACATAAATCTTACTCACCGTAACATATGAATTGGAAGTGCTGGCTGGTTGCTGACAGTACATCGTTGTCATTGTTGTCTACTTCAAAAATACCCACATAATTCGTGTGTATCGCCTAGACTTCGCAAGATATGACTCGAACACTTAACGGATGTCAGAAAAACGAAGCAAGGCCGAGATTGAGGCAACAAAAAGAGATTGGTTCAGTAGAATTCATTTAGGAGAAGAATCAGGATCGCATGAAACAAATCGAATGGCGGCATTTAGTTGATTAATGGATGGATTCGGCCATCAACCACGCACTAACGATTTGTAATGGAAATTACTATGCAATTATCAGCCACCCGCTCGGTCAGACCTATAAAGAAGGTGTGCGAATGACAAATGCATTGCGAAACGGGTTTGACATTACAAAACATCGCTTCGTCGTAAAAAGAAAACAAAAGGAAACTATGCCAAAAATGGAAAGAAGTAATTTAGACATCAAATGTTGCTAGAGCAGACGCTAGTCCAGAAATAAGCGAATTTCTTTTTTAAAAATTACATTTCCGATTAGATCAAATAAATGATCTACTGGTGAGACAGATCGTTGGCATCAGAAATATTGAAGTGCGGTTGATAAATTATAAAGGACTTTGGAGCATATTATTGATTCCCATTCTCCAATTCAAAATTTTTCGAAATCGTTTTGGACCAGACAGAAAATTTACGATGAAATAAAGCTAGCATTTGGAGAGGACGTCAAGATTCGAACAGTGTACTTATCAGTGCAAAGCGCTGGACGAATACTGCGCAGATAAAAACGACTGAAGCGGCAAATGGAATTATATTTAAAAAAAAGAGAATAAATTGCACACAGTGAGGGTGCAAGAAATTACGAAAATCAAATCAGTCATGGAATTCCATAAAATGATTAAGGGTAAAGAAGCCAAGAGTGATATAGTGATTTTTTGACAGAGCATTCAATAGCCAAAATCATGCAACAAAGCAGCAAAATATACTTTTTTTAACCGACATCTAGTCTGGTAATCCGAAATAGCAGTATTTACACAAAAACTGTAAGTACTGTAAAGCCTGAAATAACAGTTCTGAATAAATTTTGGAAACAATTCAAAATTCTTTTCGCAATCAAAAATAACAGATAAATCACTTTCTGTTTAGTGAATCATGTCTTTTTGGAGCGGGACGACGATAAAAACAGAAAAGAGAAGAAAAACTGTAAATATCAATCAATCTTCTAAATATTAGTTACAACAGAAAAATCAAGAAATCATCAATGATATGGAGATATCAAAGATCCAAAAACTAGGCATTTATCAGACAGAAGTAGAAACGATTGCTTCTGGTAACTGCCAAAGATATTCGGATTAATTAGCAAAAAAATGACTATGACGGATTACATGACGGATTACATCATCAGAAAGGTTTTTTACGTAGTATTTGCCATAGCAGTTGATATCACCACTATTTCGAAAGCATCGGATGTTTAGATGAGATAAGAAACCTTTCGATATCATTGTAGGCTACAAAACAGAAGCAGTGGGAGAGATAAATTGAGGGCATTAACCGCTGAAGCAGCATGTCAAAAAGCTATGAGTACGCGATAAACGAATGAAACAAAAGCGAACAAAAGCGAGGGGGTAATAAAATGATGAACAAAACGTGTACATGACGGCTAAAGTACATATACGTCGTAGACACCGTTGCATTGCCGATCAATAACTCGTTTTATGCACGACGAGCTGGACACAACAATTACCCGCACAGGTGAGCGCATGTAGCAAGAAAAAAATTTTCTTAGGCTGTTCTAGACTTGAGAGAATTCCATTCAGGAAAATTCGAGGTAATGAAATTATCCGGTTTGTTCTTCTTTCTATGTATGCTGGCAACTGTTTTTGTGCAATTCAAATCAAAGAGCATAAAATCAAGGTGGAGGCAAAACTTCTCAATCACGTTCCTTCACTGCTAACTTAGTCACAAAATGACTATCACAGTCAGTTATAGCCAAGAAGTCAAGAAATTTTAGATCTACCAAAAGAGACTATCAGAAACTTATTACTTCGGCGATTTCTGAAGTAAAGTTATGTGACCGGGGGGGGGGGGAAGTTCCGCGCGGACAACTGTAACGAATTAACATCTTCACACATTATAAGCTTGTTTTTGCTTACCGCTCAGTTGGAGCCAATCGACAACGTATCTTCCTCCGTCTATATCTTTGCAAAAAGAGGTAAATTAGTTATAGTGGCTTTACCTTTAGGAAAAAGTCTAGCTTATGACTCCTAAAATCCCAAATGCGCCCACACATATCGTAAAAAATCCGAGCGATAATTTTTATGAAAAACGCGAACAGAAGATGATCGAATACACATAAATAAAAAGTGCACTTCACCATTCACAGAACTTATGTCCAGCCAGTTCCATATATTCCGTAAAAGTACTCGCACTTTACTGTTTACACTTCTACTATTAGAAAAAGATGGATGGCATTTTTCCTATTATGTGCTTGTTATTCGAGATTATAAAACGTATATAACAGGCTGAATTAAAGAGCTATTCACGCCTGGACAAGGGTATTGTTCAAGCCATCAGCTGATAGTTAAAAAGATGTTTATCACTTTTTATTTCATGCAAGCTTGTTGGATAGAATTTTCAATATGACAAGCAAGACCAGAAAGTTATATATCAACTCTATAGATCAACTATCTTAAATTTCCAACATCATGAAATGAGTGTATAGAAACTACAAATTTTTCTCCGTTCTAACCAACAACCCCTCTTTCCCTAGTATAGAATATCAATCATCGTAGCGTAGGGAGGACATCGAAACTCTACCCTTTGCATTAATGATCAAAGTATGACAAACTATCGTACCAGGCGCTGACAGGATCCTGAATCATCCCGCAGACGCATGAGGACACAAGCTATCTCACAAAAACATAATTAGAGAGGAGCCCGGATTTCTCAAAAAGCCTGTACTGGACGCATCTCCTTCAAGAAGAATAAACCCTTGTTAGTTCGGGAAAATCACCGCGAACATAAATACACGATGACACCACAGTTTGATGCATATCACCTCGGCGGAGGATTATGGACTTTACGATTATGGTGATTGAGTAATTATTGGCTTTAATGTTAAGCGGAGGACATAAACGCGAGCTACGAGATTTAAAACAAGGTTGAAGGACTCAAGGTCAATAAGTAATGCGCTTTGCTTGACTTGCTCAAATTTAACACATTCAGGACAAGGCCGATTTTTCGATTACTGCTGTTTCGGACCAGAGCCTTTTTTGCTTTGTCAAACTTACGACCCAACCGTGGTTCGTACTATCCGAAATGGTAGTCTTTTTGGAAGAAATTCAAAAATGTCTCCTAGAATTTCCCCACAAGGATTATCGAAGGCGCTGGTCACCAAAATATGATTTCTCTTAGTTTTTGGCGATATACGGTAAGGTTACGGTAGTCATTCTGTGCGAACCCAATACCATGAATTTTCATGCAAAATTGTGTTTTGGGGTTATTTCACGTGCTGATCACGATTATAGTGTCCACTTTGTTCACTACTTCCCTACAGTAGAAAAAATTCTACCGCACTACGGTAGCAGTATGGTAGAATTTTCGTAAGAATCAAGAAACTGATGTAAGAAGGAGGTATTAGAACTTGAGACTATCATTTTCGTAATCAACATGCTAAAAAACCTATGTAAGGTCTGATCTTCCTGGGATGAACAATGCGAAAAATCAATAAAATCAATAAAATCGATAATTTTTGATGGGCTGACATCAGTCTCGTGCACTCCCTGTATTTCTCGTGCATGTAAAAATGAATTATCAAAAACAGCGCCACTCTGCGGAAAATTTGAGCTAAAGTCTGCGCCTTACCTCTATCTACGGTATACCTACCATAACATTACATTACAGTACCCCGAACCCTGACCACTCTGGCTGGAGCTTCGCCAAGGTGTCCTCAATCATGTGCCAGAACCCCGTAGAATTCCATCGTATACTGGCAAAGTTGGAGCTTCAGGAATCTTACGACCCACCGGTGGGTCGCATTGTCCGAAACGGCAGAACACGTACGACCTGCCGGTGGGTCGTATTGTCTGAATGTGTTGAAGGAGTCTAAGAGCGTGGTGTGAAAAGTAAATTCATTTTCTTTCGACTCCAAAGGAACTGGAAGACGACAGCTAGAAGATGTACACATTGTGATTATGTGGCAAGAAATTCGCATAATGCCAGGTGCATGATCACCCGCAGAGATCTTATTACAGGCCGTGCGTTATGATTGAAAATTGACACTGAAAGTTCAGCAAGAGGCTGCAGGCCAAGAAAATTGTGCATTATTACATACATTCCATCGAATTCAAATGCCTTTCATTGTAAACGCTCATAAAGCAGGAATTTCTGTGAAAAAGATGATACGAAAAGCATAAATCGAATTCCTACATGCATCTTCACAAGCCAGTAGAGTTATACTGCGAAATAAAAAAGAAGAGAAGTATAAGCCGAGGAAAATACCTCGAATGAGTCAGAAACTATCCAAACAAAGATACAAAATAATGAGCATAGTAACACTTCTGCTACTTTCAATATTTAACTCTCTACTACTAGATTAGCTAATGAATGATTTCTTTCTGATAGGAGTACGAAATTCTATAAAAAAAATTAAAGGTTAACGGAAGGCTTTAGAGGGAAAGTGTTAATTACTGAACTATGAATGTGCTTGAGAATGTCTTGTAGTCAACGTAAAGTTTCCACCGTATCCAAAAAATAAAAACAAACTCAGTGCGCTCTGAAAACTAAGTTCTGAGAAATCATTTTTGTCAAAAAGTGGAATGCCGTAAGTGTAATTTTGTAATATAAATAGAAAAATAACAACCTCCAATGTGCAATGGATTTCGAAGAAAAAAGGAATAAAAAGGACCATGCGAAGAGAATATACAAACACGAACAGCTGACACAACATTAAGTCAGTCAATGGAGCCCACTTAGTTTA